TTTCAATTTTTGAGATAAAATTCTTTAAAAGGGCTTAAAATTTTCCTTGAAATGTCTATTTTTCGATGCCGTATGGCGTTTTTGAAAATTTAAATTGGCGGACCCAAAATGGCGGTTGGAATGAAAAGACATTGAAAAAATCAATATTGTAAATAAACGTGCACGATGTGATGTAGAGGTCCGATCCGTGTGCGTGCGTGCGTACACGCGTGTCAAAACGAATTTTGTTGAAATCAATCCTTCAACCTTGATATCCAGTGGTTATCAAGGCATTTGCGTACAAAATTTCAAATTATAATTCGATCATTCTCTTCTCGAAAAAATACGTCGCGAAAAAGATCTACGGTAGGAATATTATTGTGCGTTAAAAACAATTTAGAATTTCTACAGGATAATATGATAATTTAATAAGTGTTGAAGCTTTATATTACCTTATAAGAATCCTCTTGCTTCTCACGTTTGGGATGCTTGATTTACGTGAGTCCCCTTACCTCCCACGTGTGTGCGCGCGTGCGTATGTGTGTGAGTGTGCGCGAGCGCGAACGCGTGTTGTGTGAATGGATGTACCATAGAATTTAATTTTTAATTTTTTATCTTTACTTTCTTCCCCGTAACTACCATAGCGTTCCATTTATATCATTGGAATACCTTTTGATTAATACTTTAATTTCGCCCGCAATTATTATATAAATCCATGATTTTTAAGAATTTGCGGTACAGCCTGCGTAGCTTGAGAGAAGAGAATGATCGAATTATAAAAATATTAAACAAAATGTATATAAATACGTGGGCATTCGGAGTCGCCGCTAGATATTTATTGCGTAATATTAGCTGATATCTACAATTAAAATTTTTTGGACGTTTCGGCTAACAGTTTTGAGCCATCCTCAGCAATAATAATTACCGCTAATCATCCTCAATGCATTGTCAAACTGCATCTCGCACAATCGCAGTTCCGATCAACCATACTACAATTGCGTTGGAAATGTGATGAGAGACAACCATCTTCAACATAGCTAATGTTGTGACATTTAGTTGCTTAGCAGAGTGGAATTGATAGTGAAACTCCAGCTAATAATTGCAACACAATATTTTTTTATTAAAAAATTGATACTAAATAATATTAATTAGTGTATGTTGACCAGTAACTCACCCCATCTCCAAACACAACTGCAAGTGAATCCAAGCATCGTCAATACATTACAATAATTTAATATTCGATGTTAAATAAGATCAACACATATAATGGTAAAAATGTATGAAGAGAAAAATTCTCTGTGTTGCTCATCACAATGATTTCCTTAACACAAAGAGAGACGTGTCGCTCGAACGAAACGTGTCGGTCAATAATACAAATAAACATATTATAGCTTATTGAGAATTTCTATGTATCCATGATTCAAAGACGTCTTATAAGTTAGCGGAACAAAGTGAGCGGAATCGATTCTAACCAACATTTTTCTTTGTTGCTCATTTGTTGCTAAAAAGTTGCCAAAGAAAAAAATTTGTTGCTCTGTCGGTTTATTTAAAAAATGATGTTTCGCTAAAAGAAGATTAAGTTAGCGGAACAATAAACCTATAACAAAGCTAACCTACACAAAAATTACGTAGGAATTTGTTGCTAATTTGTTGCTCACAAAATATCATTATTTTGAATATATTACATAGCAAAAAAGTGTAAATAACAACAAGAAGCCTCAACGTGCTGGCGAAACAAGAGTAAATTATTAGTAAAAGATTTGTTGCTCGCTTAAAGGACCCCGCACTAATCCTATATGAAATTGGATTTCGGTTAAATCAAATGGTTTTCTCATATGTTATAGCTTATGACCTGCTGAACAAAACCTATAAGTTTTAG